AAGCAGATACATTTTATGAAAAAAATGTATCTTCAGTTAAAAATAATTTCATTCTCAGCTGAGCGGCGGTGGCACACACCTTTGATCCCAGAACTTGGGATCCCAGGTGGATCTCTGTGAGTTCAAGGCCAACCTGGTCTACAGAGCGAGATCCAGGACAGGCACCAAAACTACACAGAGAAACCCTGTCATGAAAAAAAAAACCAAAAAATAATAATAATAATTTCATTCTCAGACTTAACTCACCAAACACTACAACTTAGCCTGACCTGCCTTAAGCCTGCCCAGAACACTTACACTGGCCAGTGACTGGACAAAGCCATTGAACACAAAGCCTAGTTAATGACAAAATGATGGTTAGTGCAGTTATTGAATACTTATATCCAGAAGAACAGTGACAACACAATCAGGCATCTGTATCCACAGAAATCAACCTTGGGCCAGAAAGATGTTTTGATGCTAAACCTATACAGATCTCTCCTTGTCATGTTCCTCAAACACACAGTATAACTTTTTACATTGCATTAAATATCATAAGTAACCTAGAGATGGTTTATACAGTAGTACACAGAAGAACATACATGTGCTATATGTACATACTATACCATTTTACATAAAGCACTTACTTGAGCATTCATGTCTTCTGGTATCCTCAAGGGTGTGAGCTAGCCTAACAACAACCCCCAAATGATACCCAGGAACAAACAGACACTCTAAAGTGTCTGTTGTTTCCTCTCCTCCTCGTGGCGTCTTTAGGGAGTTGTAGCTCACTTTTGCGACTCATAGTGCTAGCCAGGAAAAGTTCAAAATTTAAAATTAGAACTCCAGTTTCTACTGAAAGCATATTGCTTTCACATCATCACAAAGTGTAAATTCGTAAGTCAAACTACTCTCACTCAAGGACTGCTTATCAAGTTGTCCCGTCTCCTGAGTGTTTCACCTCCCCCAAATGTCTCCATTGACAGTCTCTCATTTCACCAATTGTATTACTAATAATTAGCTTTCTATGGCTGTGATCTAATACCTGGCAAAATCAAGTTAAGGAAAGAAGGGCTTACTAAGCTTGGTTTGAAGGGAAAGTCTACGGTCTTGGTCTGAATGAGAACGACCCCCACAGGCTCATAGATTTGAATACTTGGTCATAAGGGAATGGCACCACTTGAAAAGATTAGGAAGTGTGGCCTTGTGGGAGGAAGTGCATTACTGGGGGTGGGCTTGGGAGTTTTCAAAAAGCCCATTCCAAATCCAGAGTCTCTCTCTCCCTGCTGCCTGTGGATGCAGACATGGAACTCTGGGTAACTTCTCCAGGAACATGTCTGCCTGCATGCCACCATACTGCCCACCATGATGATAATGGATTAAACTTCTGAAACTTTAAACAAGCTCCAATTAAATGGTTTCTTTTATAAGAGTTGCTGTAGTCATGATGTCTCTTCATAGCATTAGAACAAAGACATCAACTATGGTATCAGTGGACCATGAGACGGCATGATCCTGAGGCAGCTTGTTGCGTCGTAGCCACGGTGAGGAATCAAGCAGAGATCAGTTCTAGTGCTCAACTTGCTTGCTAGTTTTTATTCAGTTTGGACCCCAGACAATTAAATGGTAGCACTAACATTTAGATTAACGTCTTCTCACCCCAATTAGCACAATCTAGAAACTCCCTCACAGACATGTGCAATGGATCTCCTACATGATTCTAAGTCCTGTCAAGCTGACAATCAATATTAATAATCATGCCAATGTTTCTTATTATATTGCTTTTGAGTTTCACTTTAAATTCTAACCAGGAATAGAATGAGGAAACACTGCCTTATGGTTTTTCTGTTTCAATAATTCAATTAAACTTCTACTGGCTTCTTACGTTAAAAGCTTAACTCACTAATAGTCTGTCTTTTTGTTCCTCCTTCTGTAATAATAACTTAAAGCTGAAAGTTATGTATAAGTAGCAGCTTGACTATTTATATTGTATTTTCTTATATTACCCAAAATCTTTTTATAATTGTAATTTCTTCTTTGACTTATGCATGATTTAAAGAAGTGCTAATATTTTGTTTTTGTTTTGATTTTCCATGTGGGTGTATGTGTGTTGAGGTAAAGGTGTTAATTATCTTACTACTGATTTCTAAGTGACTTCGTAATTGCATTCTTGCCAAAGAAAGTTATTTGTTTTTACACTAATTTGCTTTGTGACTTGGTTCAGGGTCGATATTTTTTAGCATTCCTTATTGACTTGGTTGGTTTTCTGGCCATTATGAATTCCTACCTAGTCAATGAAGGGTACTAATTTCTTTACCCTCTCTTACTCCGTGATGTATGTATGGATGTGAGTGTGTATGTGTGTGTGCATGTATGTGCCTGTCTATCTGTCTCTCTTTCTACTGAATTAAATTTTCTTATCATCTAAAGGAATTATTTTGCTAAAAGGTTTTTAGTTTCTAATTAAATTCATCCACCAGTATCTTTATTTTACCCTCATATTTGAATGGTAATTTTCTAGTCATATAATTCTAAATTAGCAATTACTCTTCTCTGATGATTTTGAAGATATTTTTACAAACTTTTTCCCTTTCAAGATATTTTGTCTTTTCCTCTCTGCATGCTTTAAAAATATTTTCTCCTATAGATCCACAGCTTTCATTCTCAGATCTCTAGCAATGAAACGTGGTTCCCTTTTCTGGGACAGCTTGAGATTTCTGAATCTGAGGATTTACAGCTTTCACAAATTATGGGGTTTTTCCTGGGTGCTATTTCATTGAAAGTTGGCTGGTCTCTATTTTCTGTTCATTTCTTTCTGGAATGCATATAAGATAAACAGAAAGGGGTGAGTAGGAGGGGAGCATCCAGGGTGGAGAAGGAGAGGGAGAAGAGGGAGGAGAGGAGAAGAGGTTGACAGGGCCTTTGCATTTACCCTCTGTTACCTGGTGGACCAGTTCGGCACCCATATACAAATTCCCTGGTTACCAAATCTGGAAATCACACTCATCCCCCCCATCTCTCTTCAGATTCTCTTTTGCAATCACTGTGGCTCAGAATAACATCTGGGATTCAGTTTCTTACTTTGGGCTTTTGAGAATTTTTGACACTTTTGTACAAGCACAGCCATACATGCTAAAGTGATACTTGTTATGATTTATTTAAGACTTTTGGAGGAAATGAAAATTGATCTTTTTTTAAAAACTGCTTTAAACTATAAAAGTCCATAAAAATATGTTCAAAAGTGAGAGTGCAAACTCCAGTGTGAACCTGCATAGCTTCCATTCCAAATGGTTATTCAACTATGTAGAGTTTCATTGAGATGGATAGACTTGGGGTCTATTGTGTGAGTTGTTTTTTTGTTTTATTTTGCTTTTTTCCAAATTTTTATAATAAAGTTTATAGAGTTTTTTAAAAATCTTAATTACATTAATAACTTTGAACCATTTAACACAGGCATGGTCTCTGGAACTTTTAGAAAACAAGTCTGTTACTAGAGCTACAGAAATTGAATTGGTATGAAACAGAAGAGTTGGTCCCTTGGAGCAAAACATCATGATGATTCTCTCTCATGGTTCCTTATCACAGTGTCGGAGCATGGGATAACCAAGCTCAAACAAAGGGAGATAAAAGGCCTGTGTGCCCCCATTGCAGCCACAGACCATCTGAGAATTCCAGGCCCACATTAACCTTGTGAGCAGGGAATGATAAGTAAACAATGTAGTGTGGAGAATTACATAGACATTCAGTGCTTTGCTCTCCTATCAGGTACGAGTGTTTTAAAACCCGTTCAGAGAGAGCTGTCATGTGCCTGGGACCAGGCTAGGAGACAGCTCAGAGGACAGTCTCTGCTCTTGTAGGACTCTCACGCTGCTCATGAGGAAGAGACAATTATGGGAACAAGCAGGCAAGGAAGAATAATGTAGAACACGCCGGAAGGAACATGAAGAAACTTTTAAGTAGGAAAGAGGATGAGGGGACATGTCAAGAAGGTTGTCATTTTACATAGAGAGGTCGGGAAAAACCTAGCTGAAAAAATGAATTTGAGAAAATGGAAGATGAGGGGCAAGCCAGGAGGCTATCTGTAGACATGATGAGATGCTGAACCTGAAACTGTTACTTAAAACATGCACTGCAAACTCTTACTATTAACTAAGCTATTTATCAAATTTTGGAGAGAAAAAAAAAGAGGTTAGAGGAGCTAGGGAACAGAGAGCAGGAAGCCCCTGGGGGTTCTGAATGCCACTGTACACAATTTGTATTTTTCCCCGAGTGAGGAGAGGAGCAGGACCCCGTGGGAGTTGTTTTATAGCAAGGGTGAGACAGATATTTCAGACAAAAAAGATGTCAGAAAACCAGAGGTGGCTGTGGCCAAGAGAAGACTTCATGAACAGGGAAAACGATGTCATGCTTTTATATCAATGGTGGAATTCAGCAGAGGAGGGGAAAGAGAAGCTTGAGATGCATGAAAGAAAGGAAGGGAATTTGCAGTAGTGGTTCCCCAGAAGAGAGGGGGAAAGGTGGAGTGGGGATATGAGGGGCTCTTCTAGGGCAGGATGCTGGACAGCTCACCAGGAGGTGCCAGGACTGCCAGGCAGGTGAACTCACTGCAGGGAACACGTGAGAGCAGCAGGAAGTTTTCTCCTGACTCCACCCCCACCCCACCCCAGGAACGGGATGCAAGGTCAGCTCGGTGTGACCACAGAGCACAATGTACTGGTGGCTGATACAGGGAAATAGAAGGGTCTCGTGGCTGATAGGCAGGCCTTGGCTATGACCCTTGTTCATCTCGGCTACTCAGCGTTTCTTGAAATACAATGGTAAGAACCTTACCCGCCTTAAATTCATCTCATCATGCAAACAGAGCCCGGACTAGCACTTTTCTGAGAGGAAGGGAACATACTCAACCCTTATTCTCACAGCAGGCACCCCATGGGTGTTGGCTGTTAGCTGGTGTCATTATCAATCACTCAATTGCTTGTGATCAGGTAGGTTGTGATGCTTTATACCCACTCTCTTTACAGGAGGTTTGTGCTCACCAAGCTTCGAGTCATCCCCAAAGGATCATTTTCTGGATTTGAAGACCTGGAGAAAATGTAGGTATCTGATGCTACTGTGCGAATGTTTCGGGTGGATTTGGGTCATGTCCAGCATGATTTTCTATACATGTGTCCATCCTTACCAAGGGCCCCTGTCAGCAGACTCAGCAAAGCATGGATTAAACATATTTGGGGGAAAAAAATGTCCTGCTCTGTGTGTGTGTGTGTGTGTATGTGTGTGTGTGTGTGTGTGTGTAATTCTTATTATTGTTATTCTATAATTGATACACTATTACGATATAAATTTGCATTGCATTAGATATTACAAGTAAGCTAGAGTTGATTTATGTTGCAGTATGTATGAATATATGGGAAGATTATACATGTTATATACAAGACCTACATGCTGTATGTAAGTCCTGAGCACCTATAGATGTAGTGGTTAGGAACACGTCCTAGGACCTCTATTCCATGAGAAGGTCTGCATTTAGAAGTTGCCTGATGTGCTGAGCATCTTTTGCATGGCTTCCTGTTCCCTCTCCCTATCATGCTTCCTGCCAATGGTATTGAGGGACAATTGCTGATTCTAATGTGACGGTCACAGTCAGCATTTCATTTCACTCTTGTTTGGTTTTTGTAGAAAGGGTTGCTTTCCAGAACCCTTCAACTAGACATCTCAGAAAAGAAATCATTTTCTTCTGCTTACAGTCTTCTTCTTTCAAAGATAAACTTCTACTAGTTCTGGCTAGCTTCGAATCCACAGCAAGGCCTCACATCTGTGTCCTTTAGACCTCTGGTTCCTGAGTCATCTGTGCAAGTAACAATCAGTCTCTGATACACAAATGTTTGTAAGTACTGAGAACATTTGCAGGACTGGCCAAGAAGTCTCCCTTGCTATCACAAACACCGCCTTTTTATCGATGTGGTTTAATTTAGAGTTGGCTCCAAATGAGTTTTCTCAAAGTGGGGTGCAGAAGCCAACACAGAGTGAATCTTCTCACACCACAAGTAACATGCCCTTTCTTTGAGGGCCTCTGGCCTCCGCTCCTAGGATTTAAGAAGGGAGGCACGCTCTCCGCAATGACACAGCCGGGGTTCAGAACCTACATAGCAGTCAGTACAGTCAGAGACGCACGGAGTATTCAGAAAAGGAAATGTTTTTACAGCGATGAGGCGGAAGCCACCCTCCAGTTCATGTGTTTCTCCTGGAAGCTGTGGGATTTTTCCTCTTAGTTCTTCCCTCTCCCTTTAAGAATATTTCTTGGCCAGGCGGTAGTGGTGCACGCCTTTAATCCCAGCACTCAGGAGGCAGAGCCAGGCAGATCTCTGTGAGTTCAAGGCCAGCCTGGTCTACAGAGCGAGATCCAGGACAGGTGCCAAAACTACACAGAGAAACCCTGTCTCAAAAAACCAAAAAAAAAAAAAAAAAAAGAATATTTCTTGCTGATGTCTAGGGAAGAGGGAAAGTGATCGATTACCAAAAGGAACACAGAGAGAAAAGCGCTGTGCTTCCACAATTAAACCACCTGCTTGCAAGCCAGTGGGCAGAGCACTGGTGGACTGCTAGATTCCATGCAAACTGACTGTGTAACCTTGAAATCTCCTGTAAGGCCTTGGCTTCCTCGTCTGTGTCTGAGAAGGAGACCTTCATTGTCTGATCAGATGAGAACTCAATTTAAAATGTGCCGACTTCCAATGTTTTTACCTGGTAAAGATACTCAACACAACATCAGGCACGCATCTGAACAGAGCTTACCATGAAAGCCATAGAACTGGAGAGATTGGGCTGAAGTATGCTCCTTGGGAGATTGGCCAATGCCCTGCCAGTGATGTACCATATGCTAGATGATTGTAAGATACTCCTGGGTCCCCCCAACATCCTTCTACTTGCATAAAGACAGAAACAATGGCTACCACAAATAATCCACCCATAAAATTTCATCTGACAAATATGGCTGGCCCCTCACAGGGCACCCAGCATCAGATGAGAGCATCATATGGTCAAAGAGCTGGCCAAAGCGAGCTGACATAATGATAATACAAGCAAGGAGGCAGTTGGTTCGGTAAAGCAGCGTCTCCAGACGCAGCATATCCGTTCCTGCCTCGTGCTCTTATCAATTAGCTGAGCTGATTGCAATGAGATATGAAGTGAAACTACACTTAGCTTTTAACTCTTTTCACCCTGAAGCATCATCCTCAACCCCACAGGCCTTGACTCTCAGGAAACCGCCAGCTCTCTGTCGTCTCCAGGCTCGCCCTCCTTCCATCCTCCAACATCCCCTTTTGTCACTGCCAAGTTCTCATCTCCTTTCTACATCCATCCTTGTCACCTGGGTTCTTCCTTCAGTTTTTAACCTGTTTCCTATATTTAATAAATACTGGCTTCATCTCCCATGTTTCCTTCTCCCTAAATCTCTTTAATTCGCTCTGCCTATGACCAAGTTTCACCCCTATGCCACTAAAAGGAGAAAAAGGAAATACTTTCTCTTAAATGGCCCCTCCCCACCATGCACTTTCCTCTCCTTCAGAGTCATGAATAACACAGAAAGAATGCTCTCCCCCGCCCTCCCGCCTCCCTCCCTTCAGTTACCTCTTCACCTGCACCCACTTGCGACTTGGCTGCAAATTCTTCGAAACTGTCTAATTAGTCTATCAAAGGTCTCAAACAACAACTGTAATTGTGAGATCTAATGACTTGGGGGGAGGATGGGGGAAAGTGTTGCCTTTAACAGGCTTCGTTTAGTACCTGGCACACGGGGGAAGTCCTCAATGAATGTTAACTACAGTGATAATTATCGCAGTGAGGATGCTAATAAGAAACTCCTGCCAGGATAATCCTGCTACCTTTCAACTCTCAGTTCTACTCCAGAAACCTTCCCCAACCACCACAGGGCCACAGAGACTCTGCTCCTTTGCAGACTTTGTTTACCCAACTACCAGAGTCCCTACTACCCACCCCCCACCCACAGCACCTCTTCAGGGGCTTCGGTTTCCTTTCGCCTGTGGGTCTTTTCTCCCTCACCCTAAGTGCATATGGTTGGGGGAGACATTTCCAGCTCTAAAGATGAGCTCCTCACTGAGGTGGCAGGCAGTTTGAACACCATGTCTCCTAGCTCCAGTGGCTGCTAGAGGATTGGTTCTGTAATCTGGGCAAGCCACAAAGCATGAGGCTTTTATGGGATTAAGCAGTGAAAAGGTCAGCTCTTTCCTCAGGAATAGAACTCCTCAAAGAGGGAAGCCAGGACAATTGTCACCATCTATCCACTGAGGGTGTCGATGAGGACAGAACTCACATAATAGAAGGGAAGGCTCGGAGAGAGCCCGAGTCCTAAGGACCCTAGAACCTGAATAAAGCTGCTTCTAAAGGCATTCTTCCTCTCTGACCATCAAGTTAAATGAACCGTTAAATTCCCTTCTTTTCCTTAAGCCTGCTGGGAGGTTTTCTTCTGCCTCTCAGAACAGAAAGGAGTTTAACAAATGTTCATATCACTGGTGTGAACATAATATTTTACGTATTTTTTATCATAAACTGTATTTTAATTTTGACTATATAACTACCTGTGTCACCGTAGAGGTTCATGCCCATCTATTTGCCTATCCACTCCTTCGCTATGGACCATAGCCATTTTTATTATTTAGTATATTCTGTTCATAGTTAAAAGTCTTCTCTTGTCACCCTATACTGATTATATTCACTTTTAGGGGGGTGGTTATCAAAACAGGGCTTCTCTGTGTAGCCACGGCTGTCCTGGAACTCATTCTGTAGACCAGGCTGGACTCAAACTCAGAGATCAGCCTGCCTCTGCCTCCCGAGTGCTGGCATGAAAGGTGTGCACCACCAATGACCGGTTATGTCCACTCATTTTTATGTCTGTGCTTATTATATATTGATGACATGTACCTGGCTCTGTGAGGCACCATGGATTCAATACTGTGTAGAGACAAACATACCCTTGTGTTTGTGGAATTTATATTCCAATAGTATTGTTAGAAATTAAATGTTGTATTAATAAATGTAAATTTGTGTGCTGACAGTCGCTATAGAGACTAGGGGTTGGAAAGTGTGTTAGTGGAGTGTTTATGGTAGTAGTTCTTCCCTACTGGAAAGGTTAAGGAGAATCTTTCTGGGGAAATGACATTGGTGTGGCAATCTGCAGGCGAAGGAGTGGCCACCTAAATGAAAGTGACAGCCTAGAAAGGAAATTCTCGTGTACCAAAGTCTCACGGTGAGCTTTATGACCCAGTACATTGTGCGGACTGAATGAGGGCTGGCAGAGCCAAGATGAGCAAGCAGAAGGCTTATATCTTCAAAGCAGGGCTGCCTCCTGTGTGAAGGGGCCCCCTGGCTATTAACATGACCGGTAAAGCAAAAGCACTGGATGGGATAAAGGAGGGATGTGTGTGTGTGTGTGTGTGTGTGTGTGTGTGTGTGTGTGTGTGTGCATAAGGACAAGTGTGAGGGATGACACAGTCGGATGTTAATTCAGAAACTCTTATTCTGGGTGCTGTGCTGCGATGTGGGACAGAAAGCAAGCCAGCGGACAGGGACAGCGTGGGAGAAACCCTGATGTTGTGAAGATCTGTGGTTTTTCCTTGTCTGCCGCACAGGCCGTAGGTCTCACCATCATTGCTATTCGGCAGATTAGGAAACAGGTCTGCCGAGATCAGACTTTCTGCCCAAGGTAACAGTGAATAAGCAATAAAAAAGGATACTCCAGAGTGGGATGTGCTTTGTGCACATGGACTTAACTAGACTGCCCAAATTCGAAGATTGCACGTCTTTATTTCCTTCACTGCTTAGACCCACCCCCGTGCTGTATGAGCATCTAAGTGTCCATCAGCTGTAAAAGTGCTCTTGGTACCTCCTCTTTCCTAATGTTGTCCAGCATCTTAAACATCCCATCTCTATATCTGGAACACTGATGGGCTTGGATCTTCATCTCTTCCTCCTTAAAATTACAAAAGGACCATGCTTTTGCCCATCCAAAAAGAAAGGAAAATTGTATGTACATCCTAACCCTTACAGATGAGTCTTCCTGGTTCATTAACCCAGTTCT